TCTCTGTGATTTACACCTGCTGTCACATGGACAGCTCTTCTTGTTTTATATTGCCTTATATTAACAGTGTTGAAGAAGCTAAAGTTTCAAAGAGCGTTATCCAAAAGTAATATACTGATTGGGTATACACAAGCCCAGCCTATGAGAATAACTTCATTTTGGAGTCCATGGCTTTTAGTAGTTGGGGCCTTGAGGAGGGGGGGGGGGGAGAGAGAGAGAGAGAGAGAGAGAGAGAGATTAATAAATGTGATGAATTGATTTTCCATGTCACTCATGGTTAACAGATTTTGAAAATGTTCTACTTCGAAGTTGCAGTGGTCTCTACCTTTTATACTTAAAAAATGAAGGGTAAATAATTTCTTAGTGGCTTCCTTTTTCCAAAACTATTTTAGGCTGCAGATGATGTATGAGAATACTGAAACAAATGTTCATTTTGTGACTTAGCATCTTGGTAAACCAAATACCAGCAGTGTTTGTGTCCTTTGCTCCATACCTGTGACTCTTAACAAAAAAACATGGTGGATTTTCCTTTTGATATTCTGATTGGTCACTTATATGCTATTGACTAGAAAGTATACTGCAGGGTACAGGCAACTAATAGAGATCTCAAAGCACTAAGACATTTGATATTTGTATTTCCTCTGTTCATCTCCTTTTGCACTGTAATTTCAATTACCTTTTGAGCATCATGAACTAAAAACTAAAATAGCCTATGTTGAGTGCTTACATTCTAGCCTCCAAATTTATTTATTTTTTAGTTTCTGTCATTCTGTGCGCTCCGTAGGCTATTTAATTCTGTAAATAAAGCTTTCCTCTCGCTTCCTTGTATTACTTTGGCACCTTTTTTCTTTGTTTGATTTTTTGCCATTGGTTTTGAGTTACTTGAGGGTTATTTTTGTGTATTTGACATTTACATTGGAAAGAGTTGCAATAGAGAGAACAAATAGAGTGCATGCATTTTTGCATTAGTATTGATGATAATGAATATGTCATTGAATGACGATTTGTTTTTTGCTGTGTCACTTTTTGACGAGTAAAGAAAATTAACACTAGTTGGGAAATGGGTTGCAGAGATAGGACTTATAGAATTACATATTTGGGCTATTCCTGTCCAAACTTGTCAAAAGGAGTAATGGAAAAGTCCCTTCTTGGTCTACGTGGAATTTATCCCACCTTAGCCAAGTTCTAGGAGGAAGTTTAGTCCCTATGTTTTTTGGCATAAATAATGTAAGAATGAAGGAGTATTTATGGAATATGGATACTGTGCTGTACTATTAGATTTTTTTACTTTTTTTTTTTTTGTTTTGAGGGGTGGAGTGGCTGAGTGCATTCAAGAAAAATGACTAGATGCTTACTCCCCTCACAATCTAGCTGCACATATTGATCTGTACACCTTAATAATGGAGTTCTTCTACGTCAAGTTTTGATTGTAATCACAACAGTTTCAGAGCCTGCTACATATTTTGATTTTCAGGCAATCCCATTACTAGTGTAGTGTAATTAAGGAGCTAATTGCATTAGGCAAGTGGTGGTTCCAGCAATAATTATTACCTATCATGGAAATGTTTGCATGGTACATTTATTTCAGCTGAGGAAATGAATTCATGTTGTAAATCTACATGACTTTTCTGTTTCCTTTGTTGATGGGCTGAGATGTGCTCTAACTTGTGTTCTTTGTCTATTTACTGTTCGTATTTTATTGAGGCTAGGATGCTCCATGGACGCTGCTGAGTTTGACAACAACTCTGTGTAAGTGCCAATGCGTGTGCATGCTTGAATGTGTGTTAGAGAGAGGAAAGTGATGGGGACGGCATTGATGGTAAATCTTACCTTGTCTGCAGGTTTCGGTTGCATCTGGAATACTGCCTGCACTGGAACGGAATGAAGCTTCCAATGGTTCCTCGATGATCTATGTCTTTTCTTTGTGACCAACTTTATTTTATGTACATAGTAACTGACTACTGAGTAGACTATGACTTTCAGTTCTCATTTGTAACTTTAAACACTTTCCAACATTAAGTTGAAATACAGTTCAGCTTTTGTACAGAGGCCCCTTCTGTTGGGTTATTAATTCTTAATTTAAACAGATTTGGTGAGATCTTTGCAGGGAAGTGATTAATTTGTTCTTAAATGTCTGCCTTGCCTTGTTAAGATTATGAACATTTCTTCTTCTTTTTCTTTTTCAATTTGATGAAAGACTTTCCTTCTTCACATGGAGTTAACTGTACTGCAATTTCATTTTCTGTTTCAATATTGGCTTACTATTGCATTCCATGTTTACTTTCTACACCATGTGAGAATTGTAGTTAGAAAGAACATTGATGAAAATTTTTTCTTCAAATTCTTAAACAGAAATATGTGCAACACCTACAAAATTATAAAGCAACCTGCTCTTCCTTGCATAGCTGGCTAGAGAAAATTATTCAACCAATTCTTAACAACCAATTTTGGGGTAGGATAACCAAAGCTACATTTCATCATCTAATAAATTTTTTTTTTGGCCATTAAATGGAGTTATGAATAGGGAAAAAAAATGAAGCAAGACAAAGGGAAGATAGTGTAAGTTTGAACTTTAGTTGTAAAGTTATATTCAAAATAATTTGGGAATTCAAAGAACTGTGAGGGGAATATTCAATTTGAATTGATAACATAATATACTTTAATTAGTCACATTAATTTAATATTTAATAGTAATAGAGTTGTTAGGCTATACTAAATGATAAGATAATAATCACTAGAAGATTTTGAAGTAATAACAACTACATTAGGTGGTGCTAGTTATGATTCATTAGTTATACAGATAATGAAGTTTACTCATAATATTTTTACCTTACCAAAGATCTAACCTCAGTAATTAAAAAATCATTTTTTTTCAACATGGAAACAAGAATTTAAAAAGGATTTAATTAAATTTATTATAGATTTAAATTCAAATCTCAATATTTGCAAGTCCTTCTATTTCATATTACGAGGTTTTTTATATCAATTTTTTTTGGACTGGGATCCAATGCTAATCATTAATTAAAAGGAAAGCAATTCACTTTCAATTTATTTTACTATAATACTATAAGTAGCCAATCACAATAAAAAAAGTTATGTAAAATTCCATCATTTAAAAGTTCGGATTTTACATAAATTTTTTTTATGAATTATAAACTATATTGAATTATAATTGATTAATTGTATTAATTGTATTAAATATTCTCTCAGTTAACTATTATTCCGCTGTGATGAAAGGACATAATCATGGTCCATTGGAGGCTTCTCTCCATGGCATCCCAACTAAAACTGAAAATCTCACTTGTTGGGGACAGCCAATGGTGATAATAACTGATATATATACCCTGTCAAGCAACTGCAGTAATGATTCAAATCAAGAATCTGATGCAAGTTGGGGTGTAGTTTAAAGCCATTATTATAACTTATGCAAAGCAATTAAGCAATACAATACAATTCAATTCCATCCTTAAATGACAAGCAATGACTTAATCTATATGTAGCTAAACAAAATGTTCTAAAGGTATAATGAATACTAAGATTTGATCTGGACCAATCATCACCGTTTTCAACAGACATGGAAGCAAGAAAAAGCTATAAAAAAAAAAAAAGTTACAGCTTTGTTTTGAATGAATGCTAGATCCATGGGAATCTATGAATCTAAAAGTCTGTTCAAAATCTTCCATATGAAGAACATGTTGTAAAGTTTAATGGGAACAAAAGTATGGACTTAAAATACATGATAACCTAATCCATGAATTGTTTATTTCTCTATTTGATCCATACCCCCCTTTTTTTTAGACCAATCATTGGTATCATGAAGGGAATATAATTGGTAGAAGGCATATTTCCTATAAAAGTAGCAGATGAGCAAAACATAAAATATTTGTCTTCCTACCTCTTTCATGAAAAAATTATGGGTCCATGTCCATCACCTAAAAAACTCTCCTTCTCTCTATCTTACCCTTTATATAATTGTATGTCCTCAATAATGCTGGTCATGGATAATCTAAAACCCTTTATAACAATACTTTTAAATAGATCTGACAAATACAATAAAAATAAATATGAAAATGATATTATTTAAAAATATATAAATTCATTAAAAATATATATTTTATGTTTAATTATAAATACGATTATAAAACATAATTTTTATATTTTATATCTATTAAATATGAAATTAACATACACGTATGTACGAATTGTCATATTTATTTTTAAAACACAAATTTATTTAAACTTGTAGCTTTCTTCAACTTTTCATTTTGGGTTAGACAGTCTGCAATTTAAGGGAAGCTTTCAGGAATGGGACAAGCTTTGATTTGTCTGTCCAGAGACAAAGTTTGGGTCACTGACGACAAAGAAACCTCACCTAATATGGGAATTAAGCCCTTAATCAGGAACTTATGTGACATCCAGTCTGCAAATGACCCTGTAGCCTGCGGCCCCCCAAAGAAAAAAATTTCTATTAAGGGAAAGGAATCTGAATGTAGCATGGGTTTAGGTGATGACAGGGAATGGATGTTGACCCATCAACAAAGGGGGTAAATACCAAACAAATCCATCTCAAGATCAAGGATTAGATAAACAAGTGGGTTTTGCTTGTTGATGAGTATTCTAATGTTTTGGTTGGAATGGTATGAGCATAACATTAAACAAATAAATATATATTTTTTATGCAGAAGGTCGTAATCTGAATATTAAAAAATATATATAATTTTAATTTTTAAATTTTAAAAATAATTATATGAATAGATTGGACAAAGTCTTATTCCAAAAATCAATATTACAAAAATATTATAATATAAAAATTAAAACACTCTCTCTGAAAGGGCCATTAGTTGTCAAAAGTAAACTCATACACTCCACCCTTTGAGAATTATTGTATATGTAAAGATTAAGAAACCAAACTTTTTTTTTTTAATAATCTTTCTCTTTTTAATACACTTCTCTTTTTATTATGAAAGAAAACCTTGTGTCATCTAATATTCAATGTTGAATTCATTTTTATCCATTTATTTTATTTGTCTTCCCTTCTTTGAAGAGTACTTTGCAGCCCTGAAACAGGTCCACAAAAAGGACCAATGAGAAAGAACAGGCGGTTACAAAGAGAGAGAGAGCGAGTGGAGTAGGAGTCAGTCGTGGGTTCCTCACTTTTTTTTTTGGTTTGAATTTTTAGTTTTTACTTAACTTAAAACCCCACAAAAAGACATAACTCAAAGAGAGGGTCTCGCCCTGAGGGACAGGTTTGCAAGGACAAGATTTTTGTGTAACATGAGAAAAGAGTTTCAAAATCTGAAACAAATATTTACACTCTAGAAGAGAAGGTGTTGTAATAAAGCAAAAAGCTCCAAAAATATAGCAGACTAATGAATCAGGTTGGTTTCTTCACATAGAAGTAGAGGTAGAAAAGCAGAAGAAAGAGACACCCATGAAGGATCAAAAGTTGCAAAGAAAGAAGAGATATGTCTGAGAAAAAGACTGGACCCTCTTTGTTTCTATTTAGATTCACTTTGACAAGATAGCTTTGATCTTTTGTCTCTCTGCACTCTCCTTTCTGTGTTTCTCGCATCCCTCAGCTGGGTTTTGCTCCCAAGCAAAAAAAAAAAAACCTTTGGCTATTAATAATCATAACCAAACTGAGGTAAACAAACAAAATAGAAACTCTGGGATATGGTTTTTCCATTTCCTGTTTTCCCTGAAGTAGTTTTCTTTCTTCTTAAGCCAAGGTTTTTCATTTTTCTGCAACATTTTTTTTATTTTCAGTGTTTCTGGTTGGAGAATGGTCTAAAGAACAAGTCTTGCATGGCGAACCATCGAGTTGGAGAGACAGGTTTAACTGACTCAGGACCTTCAAGTCACCACCACCACCATATTCCTTATGCAGTTCTTCATGGAATGAATGTTCCCGCAAGTTTCATGTATGTTTTTAATAGTTCCTTGTCAGTAAAGCCATCATCTTTGAATTCTATTCTGAAAGAATTCTTTCTTTATTTCTTTCAAAATTGATACTATTTAATTCGATTTTTGTTTTCTGCTCATTCATTTTCTGTCTGCCAGCCATCAAGAAGGATCTGCCTTTGATTTTGGAGAGCTAGAAGAAGCAATTGTGCTGCAAGGAGTTAAAATTAGAAATGACGAAGCTCAAGCACGTATGTTCCTTTCCTCTCCTATCATTCACTTATTTTCTGACGTTTGCCAACCTTAACCAACTCTCCTACAGCACAAAGAGAGAAAAAAGAGAGGTTTGAACACGTCTTGAGGGGAAAAGTAGGGGGGTTACCATTTCCAATACAGTAATGATATTGAGGCAAGACACTTGAATGGTGTGAGGCTACATACATAGAAATCTGACTGCTTAGCATGATTTAATTTACCGACTCCATAACTGTACAAAAGTGAAAAAGGCATGCAGATTATTAGGTTGCTTCTACATGTTGAAAAATCTTGGTAATCTTATTTTGAGTGATCCTCTGAGTTTTTGCTTTGTGATTTTCTGCAGCTCTATTCACTACAGGCAGACCTGCAGCTACTTTGGAGATGTTCCCTTCCTGGCCAATGAGATTTCAGCAAATCGAAATAGTTGTTTCTTAACTTTTTTTTCATTGTTTGACCATGTCTTTCGATACATGAGTAGTACTAGATTTTTTAGATAAAATCGTGCTTGACAGTAGACCAGTTTTATAAGAGAAGACATTTCCTATATTCAAAGAGTTGACAACTTATGGTTTTAGAGTACTTCTTTAATGATGTTTAAATGGGTTCCTTGAGGTGATTCTTGATTATTCTTGGGATTATTCTCTTAATTCCTTCCTGGGAACTTTTGCTCAATCCAGGGAAGTTCAAAGTCAGGAGGGGAAAGCACAGACTCAGGATCAGCGGTGAATACTCTCTCAAGCAAAACTGAGAACCAGCTAGAACCAGAATCTCCTGTTAGTAAAAAGGCATCTTCTTCAGATCATCAGGCCTTTGACCAGAAGCCTATGCAGCAACAACTATTAGAGATGGCAAGTGATATCTCAAGAACAGGAACATCACAGAATCAATCAGCTGCCAAACCACCCCAAGAAAAGGTCCTTACCTACAGTTACATGCTTAATAATTCATCTCCCCACCCCAGTTTTTCTCTCTTACTCTCTTTCGTTTCATATCCCAACAACTCAGGAAAAAGTTGGTATCATTTTTGTTATTATTACTGTTTTGATCCTTCTCCCCTCCCCTATTTTTTTTCTTTCTCTCTCTGGGCATATCTTTATTAGCAAAAGCACAGATCCCAACAACCATATAGAATCAAAGAAACAGAGTTTTTCTGATTCCTGAACGATTTTCTGATGAATGTCTGAAATGAAGAGAGAGAGAAAGAGCTGTACACTTTGGAAAGTAAAGCGAGAATCTGTACAATATGAGTTGCTTGCACTCTATTTTCACTATAAAACTATGACCCCACTTTATACAATTCCTATAACTCACAGATAAACTTGTTTTTATCATCTAAAAATCGTTTTGGAATTGGGAAAAAGCCCAAAAATCTACACCCATAACCACAAGAAAAACCTAAACAATGGCCGATTTTGATGAGTTTTTGCCACCCTTATCATGTTCATAATCACCTGTTACAAGAACAACAGTCGCATCACCATCAGCAATCAGCAACTCTTCCCAGAAATTTTGTGAGATCTATCCAATCATTATATTCTGTTCTTTCAAAAATTCTAGAGCAGTTATAAGCATCTTCATATATACTTATATTCCACCTTTATCTATTTCTAGTTTCCCAGCTTACCAAATAGCCAAAATGCTCTCATTTTCCTGACCAACTTCTTGACTGTGCTTGATAAGAATCTTTTAAATCACCAACTACAGCTTTGCTTTTTTTTTTTTTTATTCATTTCTTCATCTATTTATTATCAAATATTAAATGGATATTATATCCCCTCGTTATTATACATCTGTTAATACATACACTTTTTTATATCGTTGCAGAGAAGGGGTTCAACTTCTGAGAAACAGCTTGATGCTAAGGTACCAAAAAAAAAAAACCCGAACTTTTTGTTTCTTGGGTTTTTACTAAATCAAAAAAGACAAATATTTTTTGAGTTAAATCTGCTTAAAATTGTTTTTCAGACACTGAGACGTTTAGCTCAAAACCGAGAAGCAGCAAGGAAAAGCCGACTTAGAAAAAAGGTAACATGAAAACATTACATGCAAAAACATTTGCCTGTAGTTTCTTACTTACATGTCTGAAACTTGGAAACTGATGGGTTTTTTTTTTGTTTTTTTGTCTAAACAGGCTTATGTTCAACAACTAGAATCAAGTAGAATAAAGCTAACTCAACTTGAGCAAGATCTTCAGAGAGCACGATCTGAGGTTTCCTTTTGTTTCTTCCTCTCTTTCCCTTTGGAGAAAATAAAGTTTATCAGCTAGTAAAATATTTCCTTTTTACTATTTTTTCCCAAACCCTTTGGTGGGGATTTGATTTTTTTTATGTGCTTAGACTTTGGGGTTTTGTGTAGCAGGGACTTTTCTTGGGAGGTTGTGCTGGTGCTGTTGGAAATATCAGCTCCGGTAAGTTTCTAAGAAAAAGCTAGAATTAATGTTGCACTAGTAAATGACTAAAAAGAACTCTAATTATCTGAGTATTTTCCAACAAATGAGAGACTCTAAAATGGGGAATGTATTTTCTATGATGGGTAGTTTTGGAACAACAATGGCAGTAATGTATAGCACTATTTTTTTTATTTTTTAATTCGAAGGAGGCAGCAATTTAAGATTAGAGGAAAAGATTGAATGTGATGGACTTTGAATTTAAATTTATTATTTATTATATTTTTAAAATGATTATATGAATCAATCATTTAAGTTTAGTGTTTTTGTAGCATTATTTTAATTCAAAATAAAATAAAACTTTGACATATTCAGACTTAATTTCAATTTAAAAGTTGATTATTAATTTAAAGGAAATTCAAGACTTGGGTAGAGCAACCCTTTTGTTAATATTCCTTCTTAATCAAGTTGCTAGTTTAACAGCTGCCTTGGTTTTTCAATTTTATGATTGCTAGTTGAACCTTGACCCACAGTTTTTTCCCATTTACTGAAACTTTTTTTTTGTCAATTTTGTAGGATTTTTTTTTTTTTTTACATTGACCAAACACTGTGCAAACTCTTCCCCAAAATTTAAATTTTCAACAGTTTCTCCTTTTTCTCTCATTTTTCCTAAGAAGTTTACCTTATAAAATGACATATTATAAAGTTTGTTTGGCCTTTTGCTAACATTGGAGTTAACACATATAGTAAATCCATGAATTATTGATCCATTGGCATGACCTTTTCCACTTTCAGCAAAACAAGACATGCCTCTTTTAAAAATGCAAATCGAATCAGTAGTGTATCAAATGGTCCACTAAATTAAAAATAATCATACAATATAGCAATTGGGATCATGCATCAGTTCATTACCAATTGTTATTATTATCATTATTGTTGTTGTTGGTTGTCTTCATCTAGGGGCTGCAACTTTTGACATGGAATATGCAAGATGGTTAGAAGATGATCAGAGGCACATGTTAGAGCTTAGAACTGGATTACAAGCACAACTTTCGGACAGCGATCTTCGAACAATTGTAGACAGTTACATTTCACATTATGATGAAATTTTCAGGCTGAAGGGAATGGCTGCAAAATCTGATATTTTTCACCTTATAACCGGGATGTGGACCACTCCGGCGGAGCGCTGCTTCCTTTGGATGGGAGGTTTTAGGCCCTCTGAGCTCATCAAGGTTTTAAGCCCTAAACTCAGGATGTGTCCTTTCCTTATGAGTTTTACTTGGCAACTTAACAATATTTTCCACATAAACTTTCCTTATCACCTAACTAGTATGGGTAGTTTCTATTAGCTCTTGAACTTCAGGAAAAAGTTTCATCTTCAAGAATTTAGCGATATAGTCTGTTAGTAGAGCATTAAATTTTTAATTTTAATGGTCAGGATTCAATTTCTGATTGCAAGGACCAAAAAGAACTTTTTAATATAAAAGGGACGAAAAATGACTATATTTAGTGGCAGTTATTTCATCCTTTTAAACTAGTTTTGATTTTTTTTTCCTTCACTTTTATCATTGGTCAGATGTTAATATCACAATTAGAGCCGTTAACGGAACAGCAAGTGATTGGGATTTACAGACTCCAGCATTCTTCACAACAGGCAGAAGAAGCACTCACCCAAGGCCATGAACAGCTCCAGCAGTCTCTGATTGACACCATCGCTGGCGGTCCAGTCTTTGATGGAATGCAACAAATGGCTGTTGCCTTAGGCAAGCTTGCCAATCTCGAAGGCTTCGTTCGCCAGGTAATTAATTTATGATGAGAAGTAAAAATTTTTTGATTACTAGTACAAGAACAACGAAATAACCATTTTGACAGTCAGGTTTCATTGTCATTCCAAGTGTGTGAAAAGGGGAATAGAGCACTTTCTTTCCAAGCTAAGCGTTTACTGATCAATTGGTACTTGAAAATGATATATATATATATATATACACACACACGTGTGTGTGTGTTGAAACTTTCTTTTTTTACAAAAAGAGCTGTAGTTTGAAAATAAAGGAAGGGAATTAGAGATTATATTATAAGTGTTGAAATTTAAATATTAAATTTATTGGATGCTATCTTTTAAAAGTAATTACATAAACCAAAACTAACTTAGCCTTAGGTTCAATATATGTTGAATTGTTGATGTTAGCAAATGTAAACTCTATTAATTTCGTAAGGGCTAAGGCTGAAATGATATATTAGTTCAATTCTCGATTCCTAATTTCATTTATTCCGAAGTAGATTGCTTGGATTATAAGCATTCAAAAGTTTAGAATTATACATTGACCTATGCTTTTGTCAAAATTGTTTAACAATTAAATTTTACACGAAACGCATCTCATCATTTGATCACAAAAATGGATCCCACTAACTGAATAATAGAATTTGCTCATACCATTTTTTGGTAGATACATATTTCATGCAGCATAAAGGTGAAAAATAAGAAATGTTTAGCCACTGATTATCATGTAGTTCAAATGTTCCTTTCTAGTCCATTTCATTTGATTCTTTAGATATGTTTTTCTTGTTTTGCGCCGCAATTTTATGCTACACCTGAAAGGTAAAGGGTCTAATTGCTTAAACTTTCTATTCATCTTGATTTAACATTTCAATTTGACCTTTTGCTACATTAAAATATATGTATAAAATAGAAATTATATGTATAATAAATCTAGTCATTCAGATATGCCACTGGCATGCTGCTTATCAATCCCACAATCTGATCATCTTTGTTTTCTCTTTGGAATACATATATATCTGGCTTTGAAAATCTTGATTATCACGGAATATTTCGTCTTTGACCATTAATGTTATAGGGACGTCATCATCACATCTTAGTCAACTTAGAAATATAATTTTATGTATTTTTATACTGCCTTGTTTCTATTTTGTTTATCAACAATCATTTTGTAGGGGAATTTAGATTGCTTTATTGTAAAAAGTCCATTGCACTGTTGAATGGTATGGCTTTGATGGGGTATTTTCATCTATAAAGATTTCTATCAAAAGGTGGCTTGATAGTGATATTTGTTGAAATAAAAACCCTAGCTTGAACAACCAATGGAAAATTGTGATAAAAAGAGACTCCTTTTCTTTATAATGAATTATTGAAATTTTGAAATGGACCCAATCCTAAGACAAGACAACTTACATGAGTTTCAACTTTCAAACCTTTTGAAATGTTTTAATTATCAGCCATGTAAATCCATTGCATTAGGAACTCATTTCAGTTTCTATATGGTGGTTGTGTTTTTCTTGGGTAGTTAACCTTATTCGCAACCCCTTTCCTTTCCTATTTATATCATTTGATGAATTAAATTAACTTATTTTTTCTAATGTAGGCTGACAATTTAAGGCAACAAACCCTTCACCAACTGCCTCGAATATTGACTACTAGACAGGCAGCACGGTGTTTCTTGATGATCGGAGAGTATTATGCACGGTTACGAGCACTTAGTTCTGTTTGGATATCTCGTCCCCGAGAGTAAGATCTTTTAAAACCACTTTTGTTACCATTTAAATATATATATTTATATTTGATACAGTGTTAGTTTATAAATTCTATATACTGTCAATAAATAAGATGATGTCATCTTATTAATTAGTAAATTTAAAAAAAAATTAAATTTTTGTATATTTATTTTAAAGGTTAACATTTATTCATTAATAAGTAGCAATATATGATTTATTGATAGCATATAAAATTTATATGTTAATAGTGCATCAAATATAAACTTTAAATATATATTGAAATCTATGGAAGTTAATATAAAAGTTAGAAACCCTAATGGAAAAAAGTCCATGATCTAGGACATTTTTATAGACTTGAAATATATATGTACGTATATTTTTCTTTATTGTAATTTATGTCTACTCAAGTTTAAATATCTGATATTACCTAAAATTTTTTTATGATCTTAGGACCTTGATCAGTGATGATCACTCATGCCAAACAACAACAGACTTGCAAATGGTGCAACCATCACAGAATCATTTCTCAAACTTTTGATCAAAAAAAAAAATTCCCACTAGCCAGCCATGAATCAGCAATCAAAATTCTGTATATTCACAATGATGCAGCCATGCAAATTGGATTTCATCAAGCTACTTAATATTTTAGAGGAGATAGGACTATCTTTTTTAATCTTGTTTATTTGTTAAGTTTATCCTTTGTAAATGAAAACTCAATTTTAATGTGCATGAGGGAGCTAGTTTTTTCCTTTCTTGAAAGATAGATCATCAGGAACAATGAAAGTTGGAACTTTGAGATATATATAAATATATATGTATATATTTATATGTATATTGAGAGTCAGTTGTCTCCTGGACTCTAGTGGCTCTTGAATGATGTAGAAGGCTATAGGGTTGAGAGAAAAAAACTGAAAACATTGTCTTCTTGCAATAACTTAACATTATTATTAATTAAAAATAAAATAAAAATGGTGGAAAAAAGAGAGTGAAATGTGGGTTATTTCACTTCATTTAAAGAGGGTGTTTGTGAAGGAGAGAAGGGTAGAAACGACAACGAGGCGAGAAAATATAGATTGAAGAGATTGTCGTTTTCTCGAATAAAATTTGCTGTGGTGAAAGACAAAAGAGAGAGAGAGAGAGAGAGAGAGAGAAGTTGATTTTGTATATCTCCAATATAAATATATATATAGACCTTTAATAGAAGTGGTTGAGAGAAAAAGACAGAAAACATGGTGAAAGAGAGAGACTGGGAGAGATTAGTTTCCTTAGCTTAAAAGAATATAGCAACTTGAATGAATGCATGGTGGACAAAAACATTGGCTGTATCCATTTCACTTATAATTTTTATTATAATTTTATGATTTATTTAATTATAAAAAAAATTTATGTATAAATTTATTATTTATAAATATAAATTATATATAAAATTTTAATAAATCTTACATAATTATAATACAATAATTATATATGATCTGTTTCTATCTACCTCTCTTTACAATGAATTATGCTCGATTTTCATGACATTATTAAAGCATCAGAATCTAGTGCGAGTTAATTTCTTTAGCCAAAAGGAATAAATTTTTAAAAAAAGAATGACTTCACAGTTATAAATTATATATATATATATATAAATGGACATACCAGTGGAGTTTATTAGATGAAAATAAATAAATCTCTCCCAGCATGCTTAATTAACCTAATGAAATTCGATTTCAAGGGATTGGAGCCGATATATTTAAACAGCAGTTTATCGGTGTAAATAGGAGCTGTCAATTGCACTGTTTTTCATTGAAAGGAATTTCACTGATCCTTTGACAATCGAATAAAAAAAAATAGAGATCCCTATTGAAGAATCAATGCAAAACGACCAAATCCATTGGAACAGGACAAAGGGTTTTATTTATTTATATTTATTTTTTCTTTAAGTTTTAGAAATGGATAAAGAAAAAATAGCATGCATCGTGCATGCATGTGACTGAATGTTTGCCATGTGATTAAAGAGTGTTTGGTTTTTACTATTTTTTGTCAATGAAAATATTTTAAATCCAAATCATGTCGGATGATAAAAATTAATTAATGTTATTTGTACTAGGGAATTATACAAGTTTTTATTTTTTATTTTTTTGCATGTCACCAACTTTTAATTCATGATATAATCTTCAAGATACGAATCATGCATGATTAAAAAAAATATGATAAAATAAGTCATCTGATTTTAAATAAAAAAATTGTATAACTTTATTTTATTTTTCACTTTACATCAAAATTTCCTTTTGGTGTACTCTCAACTTTTAGGTCATCCATTATAAATAGTAATTATATAAAATTAAAATAAGTAATGAGGGGTGATTGTCAGCATGCTTTTGAATTAGTGCATAATCCCAATTAGATTATTATATATAGGTGCATAAATTGATGACCTTATCTTCCTTTTCTTTAATGCATGTCTTTTTAAGATTAGGTTTCAATATTTCTTGAATCAAACCCTAAATGCTATTTTCAATGTTACTCTTTGGCATAAATGGTGGACATATAAAAAATGTCTCATTTTAATTCAGTTTTAATTTAATTGCTTCATTCAATTATTTTTTAAAAATAATATTTAATAAATTTAAATTCAAATCTTAATTATGAAATCTTTTCTTCTATTCTCAAACTAAAAAATGTTTCATCCTTTATAATTAAATTAAGACATTAATTAAAAATTTTCTCTACTACTTAAAAAATAGTGATAATTTTCACTACCATATCTAACAGTGAATCAACTAAATCTATAACAAACATTTATTCAAATCATTTTTTATCTTTTTAATTAATTTTATTAATTTTATTTTCATTTTAAAATTAGTAAATTTCGATCATAAATTTAATTAAAAATACATTATTCATCATTGAATAAAGTAGTAGAAACTTTCACTAATCTTTAAATGATGGAGATAATTTTTTTCTAATTAATTCTACTTTGTAATTAATAGAGACATAATTTAGCATGAATATATGTCTCTAATTATGCTATCATCATTAGTTTCTGATAATACATATTAAAGTCTTGGTAATATAGTTCTTTAAATTAAATAAAAGAATTTAACAATATTGATGACAGTAAGTGGTTTATATAAATAACATTTTCTTTTCTTTTTTTATGATGGCAATGTCATGAATGATAATGGAAATCCTAGTCTTTGCCCTAAAGACAAAATATTGAACAATATTTGAAGTTCAATTTTTAATAACTTCAAATATAAAAATAACAATAAAAGTGAAATAATTTATATTAGAAAATTTAATTGGACCAAATAAATAAAATTCTTCAATTACATATGATATATACAGAAAAATGAATCATAATTACACTTCTCTGATCAGATTGCATCAGATAGTAACCTTACAACTATCTAATGCCAAGAGGGCAAGAAATCAAAATGCAAATTTCAAATCCGAGAGGTCATCCATAGGGATTTCTAAACCTATTGAATGTAAGCAATCCTCATCAAAATTTATCCACGAACTCAGATCATGGGGACCGCCAAGGTCGTTGGAAACACCCAATTCTTCCATTGTATCTAACTCATTTAGTTGCAAGTTTGCGAAATCGATGGGTTCATCAACTTCTTTAGCTGAATTTTGATGAATCTCACCAGGAGATGATGAACATGCTTCTCCTTCAGTCCTCGTGCCAGGATTAGTCGAAGGCTGACTAGATCGGCGAGTAGGTAAGAAAGAATATGTAAGGTTGCCATTGAATACATTTCCTGAAGTTGATAAACGATTAATCTTTTGCTTGGGCTTTGCTTTCCTTTTCCAGTCACACTTGGAACCCTCCAATGATATGTCCGACCAGCCCCAGATATGGAACTAGTATTTCTTAAATTATCTATGCTTTGATCCCTATCTGTTTCATTTCTCTTTCCCCTTACTCCAGCTGTGCCATCAAGTGTTGATGTTACCCCAGATGAAGCACTACCAACAACATCATCAATCAGTACTTCCCTCTTCCTTCCTTTGTTCAACATAGATCCGTACTTGGAAACAGCATGCTCAGATGAGTGAACAGCTGGAAGAGCGTCTGAAGAATCATACCTCTCGAAAGCACTAGAAACAGCACCTGAGGCAGAAGTGAAATGAACATGAATAAGCTTCTCAAAAATTAAATGAGACATGCACCTGAACATTTGGCTAGTGCACGTATTCCCCTGCTCAAAGAGCAGGGTTGGATCCCTCTTCGCCCCTTCCCACATTAATAAATAAATAAATAAGACATGATAAAACATTTTTTTATATCATTTTACTTTCTAAATTTTCCTACCCATGAAGAAAATAATGCGCTCAATGCCTAAATAAAATCCAAAATGTATAACCTCATATGGTATTATTATAGGGACATAATGCCATCACAAGAAGAGAATGTAGAAATTAAGATTCCATTACCTGAGCCCCTGGCTTCTGCTTGATGGTTGGGGGTTTCATTACAAGTATTACTAGCAGTTCCGGAGCCAATACAATCAACAGATTTTGCTTCATTGCTGCATGGAGGTACAGAAAACATTACATCTTGCAATGCGGGTTTACTAAAGCAACTAAATGCCTGTCTGTTCAAATTTTCTACATCTGTCAAGAGTTTGCTTGACAAAAGCCAATGCAACTTGTTTTGAAACCTTACGAACTGCACTTTTTGATGAATTATTCCCACGACATACCTGCATAAATTGTTGGTAGAGTCGATGAATTATACTAAATTAAACATCTTAATCCAAATTACTTCAAAGATAAAACAATAAACCATTCAACACAATAGTACTAGATGTTATGATCACTCATCTAAATCAACAATAAAGTAACAGTCAAAGGGCCTCCATCTGTAAAATTCACCAATAAATCGCCAACACCAGACTAATAATGCATTCACTATACCAAGGAAAATTCGATGTAAGCCATGCACTTGCATAATTGCAAATACACTGAAGAAAGTGTCTCAATTTTTACTATCCAAAGCCATAATATTTCCATTATCATGAAAACAGTAGTAAATTAAAAAATAAAAGAAAGCAACCATTCTGCGGGAGTGGGTCAAAGGTCAATCAGTTCAGCTAGTTTAGCTGCACCTGCCAATTCATTTGATTTGCTAAATACCAACATCAGCACCATGTTATATTCATAATTACATTATATAAAATTTTTAAAACATACTTAAAGGAAATAAGAATATTATAAGCAATACTAAAGACTGGGTAAACCACTTTCTCCCAGTTTTGTTGTTTTTACCCACTCAGCATTAAAGAGTCAACCAGCCCTACAGGCCCTAGCTCCAGTTCTATTTAGCTAGTCGAGTATTGTCTTTAGAACACTAGCATTATAGTAATCAATATTAAGACTCTTCACATTATGCAAAATACTGTGATTACAAATTACTGTGATTGCAAAAAATATAAATAAAATAAAAAAACTGCAGCGTTTTCGCTATAAGGCTAAATTAGCAAGCTAAATACACAGCAATGTTAAGTAGAAGTTTGATAGTTTTTGCCTAAAAGCACATGGCTTATATGATGTCCATAAAATTACTAGTTTCCAGGCTACTAATATAAAAAAAAATGGCCATAATGTTACCAACATGTTAACAATTATCTCATGCAACCAATCTGCACTCCCTTAATTATCAAAGAGAAACTTGTGAAATCTAAGTCTGGATCAAAAAAGTAATTTTGCATGCAACAATAAAAGGAAAAGAATTAAACCTCAATGGCTCTAAGTTAATAATTAGAAACACAATTGCAACAGGAATCTG